GACCCACTAAAACAACGCTGCGCGCGGATCGTGCTTTGGACAGCGCACAGACGTGAGCTCGCAAACACGCGCCGGCCACAACCAAGGTCGCAGACACGGTCACGTATGTGTACACAGGACAGGCTGATCAGCTTGCCCTGTACATAAGGCGTACAATGGCGCGTCTTTCACAGTGCCGACGCTGTGTACTACATGAAAGCGACTGCATGCGGGGGCTGTCTGTATGTGTCTGCGCGTGCTTTGAGTTGATCCGGCAGTGTCGGTTTCATTTGTATTCCTCGTCAGGCAAAGAAAAGGACCGCCATACGCGGGTAATTATCAGCGTCGACACGAACGCCGGACCGAAATGGAATGCCATCGCAAGAGATTCCAGGACGAGCTACTCGTGATGTCAATGTGCGACGTTGGTTTTACGTCTAGACTGCTTATGTCTGGGCCAGTTGTTGCGCGTCTATAGAACAAGAGAAACATCACAAAGCACAGGACAACTGGACGGATACGGACTAAAGTAAGAGAGCAGGACAGCGATGGCAGCGCTTAGTAGCTTCTCTGGAAGTTATCGCCTTCGGATCTCGTAGGCCCCAACATATTCGTGTAAACATACTGTCACGACACAAAAGCGACGGCGGAAAGAAGTGATCGGGAGGTGCAGCAGCAGGCCCGTCTCCTTAATAACTCATAGAAACTCCTTCGTCTTGAAAGAAGAACGACATGCCATAGTATCTGTAAACATCTTTTTTTGATGCCACGCCGTGATGATTCTATCCCAACGGCATTCCAATGCTCACTAAGTCAGCGTACCGCGCATGACAGCAGGTGGTTAGATTCTATGGAACGACAGGTCAACGGTATCGCACTGGTCAAGCAGTAAATATCAGCGTGAGTTTCCTGGACAGTGTCTGTGGCTCGCCGCCATGAACGCGTAAAACACTGGTACGAAAGTCAATGACCGTGTTCTCCATTCCGTAAATACATATCACTCTGCTTATTTCCGCACGGGTGCCCAAAGCGTACTCAATCGTTCCTTTGAGAGAAGGAGCGAGAGAGAGGAAAACAGTGTGTGTGTTAGTCACGTTATGTACGTAGGCAAGGCTTGCTGATACAGAGGAGGTGTTTGATTGATTGATTGATATGTGGGGTTTAACGTCCCAAAGAGGAGGTGTTTGAGAGGAGATTAATGAAGCATCAACCCCCTTTAGAATACCTAGGGGAATATCTATGGGGCAGACATAAATCCATCCTTCCATCCATCCATCCATCCATCCATCCATCCATCCATCCATCCATCCATCCATCCATCCATCCATCCATCCATCCATCCATCCATCCATCCATCCTCCATCCATCCATCCATCCATCCATCCATCCATCCATCCATCCATCCATCCATCCCATCCATCCATCCATCCATCCATCCATCCATCCATCCATCCATCCATCCATCCATCCATCCATCCATCCATCCATCCATCCATCCATCCATCCATCCATCCATCCATCCATCCATCCATCCATCCATCCATCCATCCATCCATCCTCCATCCATCCATCCATCCATCCATCCATCCATCTCATCTATCTATCTATCTATCTATCTATCTATCTATCTATCTATCTATCTATCTATCTATCTATCTATCTATCTATCTATCTATCTATCTATCTATCTATCTATCTATCTATCTATCTATCTATCTATCTATCTATCTATCTATCTATCTATCTATCTATCTATCTATCTATCTATCTATCTATCTATCTATCTATCTATCTATCTATCTATCTATCTATCTATCTATCTATCTATCTATCTATCTATCTATCTATCTATCTATCTATCTATCTATCTATCTATCTATCTATCTATCTATCTATCTATCTATCTGTCTATCTGTCTGTCTGTCTATTCAAGAGGACTGAACGCAGGGCGAGTTGGCAATTAATTATTACAAAAACTGCGCGAAAATAGACAAGAAACAGAAAATGCACATACACAAGCGCAGACTGCCAACTGTAAATTTATTGAAAAAAAACACACATATAGATAGCAAAAAAAGTGAAGATTAGAGGTTGGCAGTTAGACAAACTATCTCTAGTTGGTGCAATGTGACCGAAAGCCTCGAGACATAGGTGCCGCCATACACGTGGATGTAAAAAAGCCTCAGTAACTTCTCTCGCTGCCCTATCTCTGTGCCGAGACAACACTTTTGGTTCGCGAAGTAATGGGTGACACTTGAAATCTCTGCAATGTAGGCACAAATTCAACGAAGGCTGGGCCTTCAGCGATGCCCCTTATTCATTAGTTGGTTATTCAAACACCTCCCGGTTTGGCCAATACAGCACTTACCACGTTACAAATCGGTGAGATACACCGTACCCTTTCCACATTCGACTAACGTTACCCGGTGATTAACCTTACATTCACTCCACTTTGTTGTTTTGTAGCGTTCAGTTTTCCTAATAATAAGTTGGGCCGAGTCTGCGCAGCGGTGGATTGGAAACAGAGAGTAGAACAGAAAGATAAAGAAAGAGAAAAATAAAAAAGAGAGAGAGACAAACAAAGGTATACAAAAAAAAACAGATAGAAAGAAAGAAAAGAATAGAGGAAACTAAGAAAAAAAAACCAGCTGCGGGGTTGCTTCGGGCTGGGAACCAATAATGTGACGCCGCCATAATTTCACCTTTTACGTAACACACGGAGATCGCGAAAACGCTGACGACGTTTACGACAAAAAAAAAAAAAAACAGCAGCAGTAACTGAGTCAAAATCAATAACATCATCAACAACAGCGGTGATAGGGACTCGATCACGACAACAAGCAACGAGTGGAAAGGCAACCGCAACCAACCTTGAAAAGTTGACGATAGTTATAGCGCGAGAACAAAACGACGACACAGAGACAAGAAGGACACGAAAGACACGAGCGCTATGTCTTTCGTGTCCTTCTTGTCTCTGTGTCGTCGTTTTGTTCTCGCGCTATAACTACCGTCATGCCATATCAACTATCCCGAGCTGCCACACTTCTTGAAAAGTTGGTCTGCCATAAGAGGACTTTTAGACGTGAAATGGAGAACAATGCCATGTCACCCAGTCTGCCTTGAGTAGCAGGTATGTTTTGGCAAGTTATATTATAATTGGTCATACGGAAATTTTTCGTACACCTATAGCGGGTCCAGGAATGTTGTTATCAGACATATACGTGTCAACTCTATTCCAGGCAATTTAGAATTACACGGCGGTTCTCACGATGCAACGAGGCGATGAAAACAGGCTCGTTTCTGAAAGCCGCTGGTTATTGTAACTACCAAATGGCTTTATTAAATGAATTCACCGCCTCACTAAGCAACCACTGCCATTTTTTCTAGAATCCGCCAGGTACGAGACGAGTTGCAAAAGTTTGTCGCACACCGTCATTGATTGCTTTCGCTCTTCTCTCGTACCGTACGAACGCACTGGAAACTAAGTAGGTTGAGATGGCGCAGGGTAAAGAAGTTACGTCACGTGCACGTCATCACATTGAGCATGTTTTTTTTTGTCCTTCGAATGCACAACTCACTTTCAGTGCCATAGCAAGCACGCTTGTGGGCACATGGTGGCCTCCTGCGGCGGCTACGGTAATTATGCAGCTCACGATATTCAAGGGCACTTGCTTAATTGATTAATGATTGATCGAGTGATAACTTTATAGCAGCACATTGTGTAGTACAATAATGATTCCAATCAATCAATCAATCAAATCAGCGAGTCAATCAACTCAATTAATTAATTGGTCAATCAATCAATCAATCAAAGCAGCCAATGGTCGTGAACTTGGGTATAGACTATTTTGTCTAAGACATGCGGTCGCCGCCATCTTCGGCTGTTAAGTTGATGTTTTTTAGATTGCAATGTAAATATAATAAGGCCATGAAAAATCGTATGAACCAACTCAACCATAATCATGCGTATGCGTCCACCGCAACACTTTTCGTTCAGTTGTTAAAGATGCACAATCCAAAGTTTGCATGGTGGCCCTCGTAAACTGGTACATATGGCACGGTGATCTGAATACACCGAATCACTTGTAGAAAGAAGAGGGAACAATTGCTAGCTTGCTTTGAGAATTTGTAGCAAAATTTCAGGCCACGTGCCACGCTATAATGTTTGGCTAACGTGTTCTCAAGAGCATCGACTATTGATCGGCGGCGTTTTCTGAACATGCTGAAATAGGCTACAGGGCCTTTGAAGAGTACTTGAGTGCCGAAGCGCTGAAAAAAGGGGGCACAATAAAATGGTGACGCTTTCAACTGACAAGTGCGTTTTCCCAGCGGTGTCCACTTTCGTTAGTGTTTGCACGTGGCGTTGAACAAAACATTGTTCAACGCCGCGGTTGCCCTGTAACTACTTTTACGGAGCTGCCTTAGTATGCAAACGCTTTCTTGTATTGGAAGTTATAATGCCAAGGAGAACAGTCCTTTAGGATTTCTTTTTCAAACATCACATCTCAATTATCTGACGGGGAAGTATGATGTGTTCTCCGTAAAGCTAACTCAGAAACCTGAAGGCCCTTCAAATCGCACGAAAGTAACGAACGTGAAAGCTGCTTTTCGTATCAAAGAGAACTATAGGGCGCAAGCTTCCTGAAATGGTACGTTTTCACCTGCCACAAACTGAGCTTTATTACGCTGGCCTTTAAAATGCTGAGTGAGTAAAGAATGCTTGATTTGACAGAAGTCAATCACAATCATGTTTGGACGCAAACGCTCAATTATTATAGTGTTATTATTTAAAGAACAAAGGTGTTCACGCTTTGAAGTCTCAATAGGAAATGCCATTTCAATATTTCTATGATTGGAAATAAAATATAAAGACAAGGTGGTTCCTATTAACTATGTGTTCCCCCTTGCATATTTTTTTGTGATTTACACGCCTGCTAGCGATCCAAGCATAGAGATATGAACAAATATGAAAAGGAAAATCGATCAAAGCGGAGGGAACTAAATACGAATTCATAGCTTACCCCACCAATGAAGACGAATGCACGGAGCAGCTTCTCTGAATTGGCCGACAACTACGACGCATTGGCAGCTACGGCCAAGCAACAAAAAGTTGCCCGACTACTCCATTTAGAAACTCCTTTCACAAAGTGAGCAACTGCCGCAGCGCAGCGCAGCAGACGCGACTTCAGAATGGAATCCGCGCGCAGAACTTAGTGCCCAAGGAGTCGGCAGCCTGTCTGCCATGCGCGCCATGTGTTTGTGGAGGAGGAGACAGCGCGCGAACGAATGGATGGCGCTGTCGGGCAAATGATCACCACTACGCGGCGCATATGGAGGAAGGAATTTTCTCTCCTCCGTGATGCAGGAGGCGCAATGCACTGCCGATAATATCGGCAACGCCGTGCGTACGCTTTGTATACGCACGCATGGCAAAACCACGAAAAACTTATTCAAGATGTCACAAGCAAGCGCATAAATGGGGAAGGAGATTTACAGGAGATCTACGCGGTGAGTGTAAGAGGAACAAGCCGGGAAGAGCTAGCACTTGGGAATTTCCACTGGAAATAATGCCGAAATAAAAATTCCAGAGCACACTCCCCCGAGTTTAGATGGAATTCCCGTCAGCCTGATTGACAAATTGGGAAATAACACTAAAGCAGCACTGTTGAAAGCCCCCAGAACATTGGTTACACGAAAGGCAAATACGAGAAAGGTGACGAAAAGTTGAACGAACGTAATCTATAAAAAAAACGTGGCTGATCCCCCTATATAGGAATCGGTATAACACGAAAGTGAGACGCGTCTTTACAGATGTAGTTGAGCGTTTATTGTGCATTGATTCCGCAACAGCAAAGTCACGTTAGGAACAACAAGTGACTAGAAACTTGCAGCGCACACGAAATTAGCATACACAAGACGAGCGCGGACTAACAACTGCCACAGCTCGAAACTTACAGCGCGCTGTTCAAACAGAAAGACGCACGAAACGAGCGCACAGGTATGCACAGGACAAGCGCGAACAACTGTCACCGATCTTCCAGCGTCTTGTGTCGGCAGTGAGCTCCTTCCGTAAACGCGGCCGTGGCAGCACGCGAAGTGACCTTCGTCCTCTCCAAAAACGAGTCTGATAAGCGCGCGTGCAGAAGAGATCGCGCTGCTTGGAAGCAGCGCCTCCTGGAGGTGACGACCATTAGAGAACGCCCAACGCACACTAAAGCCCCTTGACGCACACGAGCCTGTCGCGCCATCTCACCACTGATAATAAAAACGCGCTAAAGTCATAACGAAAACACGCTATATGCCAGACCGGCCGTGCCAGCGCATGAGCGGCCAACCCTCTGACCCCAAGCCCAACTAAACTGGGCATATTCACGCTGCGTAGCGTCGCGTAATTTAAATCCCGAGAGTATATCGATCTGGTCCTGAGCGCGCGCAGGGTGGGCACGGCTCATGTCGTCCTAGACTGAAGATTACAACCACACCCAGGGCCTTGTCGAAAGACCGTGCTATTTCTTTTTATCGTTACGAATATTTTTATTTCCTTTTGTCATTCTCTTTCTCTGTTTCACGAAAACATGGGGACAACTAGTGGCTTTTTCAAGTGGTCGTTCCAGAAGAGGACTTCGTGCTCTTCAATGGTGATTCTTGTTATCCAGTGGCATAGCCAGGCCCTGAAAAAATTTCTGTGTACGGCCTGATGTAGACTACTGTGCTTTTGTTTTGACCTTTCCATGCTCTACAATCAATTATCAGTTAGGTTTTCAAAAATGAAAATAACACGGTTGAGTGGAAGCAGTGGCCTCGTTTTACAGGCCGGAGTTAAATAGCACTTGTCCACCCTTCATCTCGGACACTTGGTCTCTTTGGGTGGCATCCGCTTAGAGATTAGGTTGCCTCACTCATGCTAGTGTAAATGCTCGATTACTTTCATAAGATGGTTGTTCACGACGAAAGTATCATGTCGAGATGAGTATGGCTGACCTGATCTCTGAAAGAATTTATGAAGACATTGAAAACAATTTGCGAAGACTTCGAAGTTTGTTGAGAAAACCAACACAAATACACACTTTAGGCAGTATGTGGGGGCAAAAAGTTTACGATATTGAATTTGTAAGACGTGGGGAGGAAATGCTTCCCTTTCTTCTTAGGACACTGAAATTTGCTCTGCCCATCCTAAGATGGCGATTACGGCCGCCATCTTAGGGTGGGCACAGTTTCACTCTGGTGGTACAATTCCACTCCAACAATTCTTCGCAAGCCTCCCTGTTAAGAAAACGTAGTTCCAGCGGCATTACTCTGTTCGCCAATTTTTCGGCACCCTTCAGGTTGCGGCTTTGACGCGCAGAGCTACAGACAACGTCGCCAGCTGCAGCATGTCTGCCAGAACTCACACGTTTTATTTTCACAAACAATATAGAAAAGGGGTATCTCGTCTGAAAGGCTACAGGCGGAAAATAGCTCAGCGAGTACAAACATATGAGCGCAATGACCTTGTCGGCGCATTCTCAGGGAGAGATGAACTCACCGGCGCCGTCTGGTTTTGAAAAAAAAAAAAAAACACTCGTCACCTGGCATGCGCGCGCGGAATTTTCATTCGCCGAACAAACAGGGCTATGCCCTACTTTACGTTCCTTGGCCAAGGCCATTCTCTTCTACGTCGGCATTCCGAGTTTTTCACTTCAGAGGCGAGCGATTGAACTAGGCAGATTGCTCGAAAATTGTTCGATGACTTGCATGGTGAACGTACAGTCAACCCGTTCGAATAATCTTCATCAACTATCCGGACATTTAATTGGTTTTAATCTTGAATAGACTTGCGCATCGATATCACAAGTATCTAATAGAACTAATAACTCGACCCCAAAGCCGTCGCTTTCGTACCAGTTTCAGTGTTTAGAAGGTTCTCTTGAACATTCGTAAAACCGGAAGTAAGCGCTCGATCAGGAGTTGTAAGAGAAACAAGAACGTCACTGGTTTCACTAGCTACCAAAAAAACCGGGACGAGCACTGAAAGACCGGAATAGATCCGGTCATCACTGTTAAATGAATAAATCGACTTCGTACTTAAACGCAGGAGTTCAGCAGCTGGTCCGTAACGAATGCTTACTAATAAACCGAAGTTTAGACCCATTTAAGTTAAACTCTCCGTCTAGGTTTAGTTAAGTCAAACATAAATCCTCGACGTGGTATACAACCAGGATGCCGGGGTCGTGTTTCCGACATCTCGCGTTATCTCGTGTGTACCGCACGACAACGCGATATCCAAGGGCGCGCAGACAGCAAACAAGGTCTGCTGCGATTCCCATGGGGCCTCGCGCATAGCACCCGCTTTCTCGAGTACGAACGCAAGATAACATTTTGATACTGCGCGCGTGTAGCCTTTCCGCGTGCAGCGCCGAATCCCCCACGTGACGTCACCGCATCCTGATTCCGAAAACAATGTTTGTTCTTCCTTGTGAACTGCACCTGCTGCTACCGATATCAGTGAACGGAATTCTACGGCTTGCAGTTAGCGCTAAGCCCTTGCTGTTCTGGAGGGAGCGAAAGAAGTTCAAGGACGGATGTCTTCCTTCATCTCCGAATGTGCCGACAGAAGCGACGGCGCACGCAGTGAGTCACCTTCCACGCTGTGCGAACGCAGGTGACAAGTAGACGCGACAGCTTGGAACAAGGTTGCTGACGTTGGGTCAATGACAACGTCGAGGTCTTGGCGGAGGGACAGCTAGCGCGAATGCAAGACACTCCAGGAGATCGCATACCAGGTCACTGCGGTGACGTTGGGTCAATGACAACGTCGAGGTCTTGGCGGAGAGACAGCTAGCGCGAATGCAAGACACTCCAGGAGATCGCATACCAGGTCACTGCGCTGACGTTGGGTCAATGACAACGTCGAGGTCTTGGCGGAGAGACAGCTAGCGCGAATGCAAGACACTCCAGGAGATCGCATACCAGGTCACTGCGCTGACGTTGGGTCAATGACAACGTCGAGGTCTTGGCGGAGAGACAGCTAGCGCGAATGCAAGACACTCCAGGAGATCGCATACCAGGTCACTGCGCTTACGTTGGGTCAATGACAACGTCGAGGTCTTGGCGGAGAGACAGCTAGCGCGAATGCAAGACACTCCAGGAGATCGCATACCAGGTCACTGTCACCGATAAATATGTGTACGAGTTCAGACTACCCGACTGCTTCTTCCGTGGCCGGTGCTTTGTTAGCCAAGGGCCCCTAAACCACCCCGAGTTCGAAGATGACAGAGTCGTTTGTTTTTCGCTTTCGCATTCTAACAGGCTTTATCTCCTTCTCACAGCTTACTTCTTTATAAAACGCGTGGAATGCCAGTACTATAAGTGTTGATACTGTCAAGATTTCGCGCTTTTCGGCTACATGCCATTATCACCGCTTGCGCAATCTAAAATGCACAAGACGAAGTGAAAACAGTTGGTCGGTCGCGATGGTCATACAAGACAAGCCAGAACAGGCATACGATCGCATGACAAAGAAGAATATATGGGACGCAATTCGTGACTGATATTCTTCGTATGTGGACCAATCAGGAGCTTACTTCCGCATGACGTCACGTGAACGAGCAGTCGTCGTCCCGAATTGGACTGAAAACACCGAAAACTATGTATACTGTTCTCGTTCTTTGTACTTTCAGTGGTCTGTATTAGGGCCCTTAAAGAAAAGAAATACTTGAGCGGATGAGGCTTCTCACAGTTCTCCACGCGAACTCGACAACCACTTATGAACTATGATAACCACGTAGTTCTTATAGTTTGAACCACTCTCAAGGTCTCGGGTCACCTGATGTGTGGAAATGGAAATGCAGGCTTCTGACGGCGCGCGCAGTTTTCCAGCGGGAGGAGACCAACCGGTGCTCGTCGGTGATGCTTCCGGCGCACATGCGCATTTCGATCGCGAAGTGTTGAAATCGCTTTCCTGTTTTCGCGGAGTTATATATGCTGCGCGGCGTGTCACAGCTGAACTGCGTCAGCAGCGTGTCTTCCCTACGTTGTGGTGTGTTACCGCATATCAGTGGAATATGGGCCCTGCCGCGGTGGTCTAGTGGTACTCGGCTGCTGACCGGCGTGTCGCAGGATCGAATCTCGGCGGCAGGGGC